ACTGCAAATAGCACTTCATCTATGTAACACGGCTTCTTCCAGAACATCTCAAACTGGAAATTTAATGAGAAGACAGCATCACCACATCAGAATCAATTTTGGTTTGGACTATGAGGGCAAAAAAAGGCCACATATTCCTGCTAATGATCAGGATGTGACTAAAGATTATTTTTTTTTAATTAATGATAGAAGTAGATACATCCTGAAGTTAACCAATAGCTTGTTTAAATGCAGGAACTTCACCTACGAAGAGTCAAAAGCTGAAAAACACACACCAAATCACTGTTCTCAACACCCCGAGTAACACCTCACCCTGGCAAGACAGAATTAGAAACAGCCAGTGGTGAGATCCTTTCTACGAGCATACTCTGATTGTAACGCCAAGCACAGACCTTTGAAGGTCCTGCTGCCGCCTTCCCAGCACTGTTCAGGTTTGAGGGGGACAGAGAAGACATTTTTATTATCAGTATTTTCACAGCAAATGATGAAGCAGTTACTCAGGCTCTGGTATGGCATCCAAACCTCTATCATAAAGTTAAGCCAAAGTTTTCCTGCAGTGGCTCTGAGGTGGTATTCTGCTGGGAATAAGCCAGGCGTATTTTTACCAGATCTCACTATACAAGAAACCAAAAAAGCAGTTCCTTAGTATGTAAAGGAATGAGACAGAGAAACATGAGATGATCTAAAATAAAGGTCGCTAACAGTTTTCAGAGAGAACAAACAGGATAATTGAGGCTTTTTAATACAGTATGCTATAAGGAAGAGATTGCCAAATTATGCAACTATCTGGGAATTGGAAATTGCAGTCACTAACCACAGGATTTCTAAGTTTCACAGCTGTTTTCCCCCTTTCTCACAAGAGCAGCACTGCATTCCACCAGAGGATATTCACCAGGCCTCTCTCTTTTTAAAAGTCTCTAAAAAGCAACCTGTTTGGAGAGGGCAAGCATTTTTATCAGCTCTGACAGCAGAGAGAGACTGATGGGTAGATTTATCCCATCTTTTCCAGAAAGTCTGTCAGAACGGCCAGATGTCTGTCACTGCAGCCCATCTAGGAAAACCTCTCCTTCTGCCGCCTTTTGTTCCACCCCTTCTGATGGACCGACAAAACAGATGCAACAAATTCTCTGCGCTTACTCTTGTGAGGAAACCACACAGAGGAAAGCAGAAGACAAAATGTTGTGAAAATGGTTCAGTAGGACAGGGTGGCTGCAAAACTGTGCATTACATCAAAGGTAAACCATAGAGCTGAAACGCCACATCATCTGGGGATTTGGCTTATAGTCAGAGCAACTCAGTGTGGAGTTATGCGTACATCGGAGAGAAATTCCTTTGCTAGCGGGTTCGTTCTTTTGGCTCAAATGACACAGCATCACGAAGAGAATAGAATGACACTAATTTTGCTAAAGACTCTAAACAAGGAATACAAAGAGGCTTTCTTACTTTCGGTCCATGTCGGAAGCAGCAGCATAGTGCAAAGGGGTGCGTCCCCAGTCATCTGTTTCATTAATATTGGCTCCTGTTGTCACCAGTGTCTCAATACAGTGGAAATGACAATTCGCAGCTGCATAGTGCAAAGGTGTCCTGGAATGTAAGTGACAATTTGTTACCTCATCTTTCAACATGCACCACCGAGGATAACGACAAATCTTAATTGCTGCATTCCTACAGATTTCCAGCAGTCAGTGTCGGTGCCTTATGTTCCTGTGATGAAATGCAAAGTTATGCAGATTTAACAAAATACTGTGTTACTAGGAAGTTTTGGTGCTCCTACAAAGCCTAGTAAGATACAGATTCTCAATGTGTGTCTTGCCAACAACCCACTCTCAGTGACAGCCTCTGCTGTTGCTCTGCATACTCACTACTTCCTTCTAGTTGGGAGGCAGAGCAAAGCACGGTGTCCCTCACAGCATCTTACTTAGCAGGCATGGCAACACTCATAGCAACACTTCATATGCGGAAAAAATATCTCTAGGAAGCACATCAAATAACAGCAATCCTCCCATCATAACCCAGGTGCTGTCTGGGGCACATAAGAACAAGAATTTAGACAGTAAGAGAAGCAATAAGGAAGAAAAATAAACCTGAGATATTTTTAAAACTGAAAACTCAAGAGCGTGGGATGGCTTTTGTCTTTAATGAAGTCTGCACGTGTCTGTCTGGCATATAACTGCAGCAGCAAGAGTTCTGCAGGGAAGGCCAAACTCCTACTTTATTCTACTGTCATTTTTCATAGAACATATGATTTCCAGACAGAGGCGGTCTTTCTTCCTTGCCTGCTAGATTCCTTCTCTTTCTTTTTGAAACAAGCTTCATAATTTACGTACCTTCCACATTTGTCCTTCTTATTAAAATCTGCTCCGCTGCTTTGCAAGAGTTTTATACATTCAACATTACTGGAAAAAGATGTAAAGAAAACAAAACATGAACAAAACAGAAGTTTACATCTGTGCTGCCCCCTGGTCCTCAAAAGGAAAACGTTACTCTAACAATTTTCGGGTTATTTATCATGCAAAACCAGGGTACAGCCAACTACAATGTGAAATTCAATCAAACAGAAAATGAAGCTTTAAAAAACTATTTCCTTTTTTTTTCTAGAAAATCTCAAACTTCTCTTCTGCAGAATCAAAGGAAAAAAAAAATTTCCAAAGAGAACATAGTAAATGCAATCCAAATTCAGTGTGTTTGGAGATTTTCAATGGGAGCTCTACCCCAACGCTTCACTACTGAACTAGTATTTCCTAAGAGAACTTTAAAAGTTGTTGCTAGCTTATAAAATGCCAGCCTAATAATGAAGAGGTGACATTTAACGAAATCCACCCCCGTTCAGCAAAGCATTTTGCTCAAATCCTGTTTACTTAGTGAGATTTAATCACAGGAGTTACTTTTAGGTTTATTCTCATATGATTTCTTGACTATTGATAGACTTAAGCACATCTCTAAGTGCTATGTTGAATAAGAGGACGTTGCTATTTAAAATGATTGTCTTATCAATATTGCATTTACATAAGTGGATGAGTTGGGCTCCATTGCTTTGTATCTGTTGAAAGAATTCACCACGTCATAGCTGCTTCTCCATCTTGTTTACAGCCAGGTGATTTTTAACAGAAAATAAAACAGCTGAATTCTCTCATCTTTAGTAATTTGAGCAAATAAATGTATGACTCCAAGACAAATAATGATGTAAAGAAGCACAGCACTTTCCAAGACTCCTTGTCTTTCAGCGGGGCAATAAATCACATCTGTTCACAACCAGATGAGCAGGCCTTGGAAGTACGTTCTTTTCCTAGTACCCATGCGACTCCCATTAATGTAACGAGAGTAACAGGCATGTGTCAGGAAAAAAAACTACTGCCTTTTGCATAGCTCCAGCTCCAGGAAAAAAAAGAGACTGGATGCTGGCGTATGTTCATCCCTACTCTAAACTGCTATTGCATAAAATAGCTACAGAACATTCACCACAACATACTAAAAATAAAAACACTTCTTAGAGATGGCAATTGCAGTAAACCACTGGAAAAATATGGTTTATTTTCATAAGCAACTTTTGCTTCTTATGAAGCCTCTCCTTCTCTTTAGGGCTTCCAGGTTGTTTTTATTATTCTGTTGGGTTGCAGCCTTATCAAGGAGGTAGCATTTGAACTGTACTACTGTAATCTCCATCCAAGCAACAGTCATGCCTCCTCTACTAATATGAGGCAAGTATCAAGAAGAATAAGAATAATGAAAACACGATTTGGATCAATTTTATTAGTGTTTTGTAATAACAAAAACTTCGCGATATACATTTTGGTCCACTGAGAAGAACAAACAACTTCCAGAAAGAGTGCCAAGTATTCGCTGTGGATGACCATTTCTGCTTGCTATAAGCACAGAGAATCCACGCGGGGTTCTAGCCAGGGCTCTGTTTCAGCTCTTTTCTGAGCCATTAAGTCCTCAACAGAAGAGTCAAAACTCAATGCTTGCCAAACATTTTGTCCTTCTGCTAGGTTAACTTCACAGCACTCCACTGACAATTACTTGGAAATATTTAAACTAACTGGATGCTATATTTACAAGTTAAATTGACGTATTTCAGTTTTCATTTGTTTCCATTTCTGGCCTCCCAGCACTTATCAGGAATGCATCACCCTGAGAGACTAACTGTCTTTTGACTTTCTAATTTGGAGGCAGAGCAGTATGGTTGTTTTGGAGTTGTTTTTTTGCTGGTGTTTTGGTTTGTTGGTTTTTCTGTTAGAAACTTTTAAACTTGCACCTGAAAAATGGAAAAGAGGGAGATGAGCTGCATTTGGACTTCAGGGTTCCAATCTGATGGGCACTGTTGCATAATTGCATTTTTGGACAAGGACACAGTCCAAATGCGGGGGCCAGGAATAAGCCCCCTGCCAGCAGCTCCTGGAGTCCCCGCTCCTTCTCCTCCCTCGTTTTGCCCTAGCAA